ATTCTTTGATTCAATTCAATTGATGTATTCAAAGTGTTTGTTGTAATGAAAATATGAAAAAGTGACATTCTATCACATTTCTCTTAAAAAGTAGCAGTGTTTTATTGGAACAATTAATTATATACATATGAGTGTATTTTTGGAAATTTAAATATACATCTTCAAATATTGTTTTAATCTTGCATTCAATTCGTACTTTGTTTTAATTTTACATTCAATTCATATTTATTTGAATCAATTCAATTAATGCATCCAAGGTATTTGCTAAAATGAGAATGCGAAATGGTGACATTCTGTCACTTTTCTCTGAAAAAGAGACAGCGTCTCGTTGGAGCAATTAACTACATATATAGGAGTGTTTTTTTGAAAATTTAAATATACAAATTCAAGCCTTATTTTAATCTTGTATTCAATTCATACTTTTTTGAATTAATTCAATTGACACATTCAAGATGTTTGAGAATATGAGAATGTGAAAATGTGACATTCGTCACTTTTTTTTGAAAAAGTCACAATATTTTATTGGAGCAATTAAATAGATGAATATGTGTGTGTTTTTGGAAATTGAAATATACGAATTCAAACGTTATTTTAATCTTGCATTCAATTCAACTGATATATCCAAGGTGTTTGCGAGAATGAGAATGTGAAAATGTGACACTCCTCTAAAAAGTGGCAGTATCTCATCGAATCAATTAACTTGGTGCATACTTGTACATTTTTGAGAATTTATGAATTCAAACATTATTTTAATCTTACATTCAATTCATATTTATTTGAATCAATTTAATTGATGCATCCAATGTGTTTGTAAGAAAGAGAATGTAAAAAGTGTCATTCTGTCACTTTTCTATGAAATTCTATCATTTTTCTATGAAAGATCGCAGTGTCTCATTGGAGCAATTGACTAGATGCCTATGAGTGTGATTTTGGAAATTTTAACATACGAATTCAAACCTTGTTTAATCTTGCTTTTGAATTGTTTTGCACTTTGGCATAGAATCTCCATTAGCATTTATCCAACTTTCAGAAGTTTCTGTACAACCTAAGATAATATAATATACACTATACACATCGAGTTCAACTGTATCATGTATTGCATAGTTAGATTAGAGACATTCCTTGTTTCGAAATTCTAATTCAAAAGCTAAAAATATATACAACGTTGGCCAGAAACTTTTGACACTCGAGAAAATTATTTACATATATTCAAAATACGAATAAAAATTAATGTAGCCAATGATGATTGTGCTCCAGAGGACAGTTGTTGGATGGGGAATTAAGTCGAGCAGTTGGTGGCGAAATGG